CACCCAAGGTTGACTTACATCAATCACCCAAGGTTGACTTACATCAATCACCCAAGGTTGACTTACATCAATCACCAAAGGTTGACTTACATCAATCACCCAAGGTTGACTTACATCAATCACCCAAGGCTGACTTACATCAATCACCCAAGGTTGACTTACATCAATCACCCAAGGCTGACTTACATCAATCACCCAAGGTTGACTTACATCAATCACCCAAGGTTGACTTACATCAATCACCCAAGGTTGACTTACATCAATCACCCAAGGTTGACTTACATCAATCACCCAAGGTTGACTTACATCAATCACCCAAGGTTGACTTACATCAATCACCCAAGGTTGACTTACATCAATCACCCAAGGTTGACTTACATCAATCACCCAAGGTTGACTTACATCAATCACCCAAGGTTGACTTACATCAATCACCCAAGGTTGACTTACATCAATCACCCAAGGTTGACTTACATCAATCACCCAAGGTTGACTTACATCAATCACCCAAGGTTGACTTACATCAATCACCCAAGGTTGACTTACATCAATCACCCAAGGTTGACTTACATCAATCACCCAAGGTTGACTTACATCAATCACCCAAGGTTAACTTACATCAATCACCCAAGAGTAACTTACATCAATCACCCTAGGTTGACTTACATCAATCACCCAAGGTTGACTTACATCAATCACCCTAGGTTGACTTACATCAATCACTTAAGGTTGACTTACATCAATCACCCAAGGTTGACCTACATCAATCACCCAGTGTTAACTTACTTCAATCACTCAAGGTTAACTTACATCAATCATTGAAGGTTAACTTATATCAATCACCCAAGGTTAACTTACATCAATCACCCTAGGTTGACTTACATCAATCACCCAAGGTTGACTTACATCAATCACCCAAGGTTGACTTACATCAATCACCCAAGGTTGACTTACATCAATCACCCAAGGTTGACTTACATCAATCACCCAAGGTTAACTTACACCAATCACCCTAGGTTGACTTACATCAATCGCCCAAGGTTGACTTACATCAATCACCCAAGGTTGACTTACATCAATCACCCTAGGTTGACTTACATCAATCACCCAAGGTTGACTTACATCAATCACCCAAGGTTAACTTACATCAATCACCCTACGTTGACTTACATCAATCACCCAAGGTTGACTTACATCAATCACCCAAGGTTGACTTACATCAATCACCCAAGGTTAACTTACATCAATCACCCTAGGTTGACTTACATCAATCACCCAAGGTAAACTTACATCAATCACTCTAGGTTGACTTACATCAATCACCCAAGGTTGGCTTACATCAATCACTCAAGGTTAACTTACATCAATCACCCAAGGTTAACTTACATCAATCACTCAAGGTTAACTTACATCAATCACCGAAGATTGACTTACATCAATCACCCAAGGTTGACTTACATCAATCAGCCAAGAGTAACTTACATCAATCATGCCCCCGACCATAGTGTTCCAGACGCCCATGGTGGCGTGGGGAAGGTAGGCCACCTGCATTGTGTCGGTGACCGCTCCGTTGACGTCATCAATACCTGTGTTAGGGAGAGATCACCAACCTGTCACTCTGGCTCAGGGCACGACATCAATCTGACAGTCACCTAATCGATCAATCAAGCGGTCAGTTAATTAATCTATCACTTAACCAGTTACGAATTCAGTCAATCAACCAGTCAGTCAGTCAGTCAAGCAGTTATGAAACTATCAATCAATTAATTAATCGAGCAATTACAGAGGCAGTTAATCTAGGAAACAATATATATAAATGAATCAAATATTCAGCCAATTAAAAAGCTCATTAGCTCGGAAAATACTTAACGTTAGTCACAGTTTAGCAGTGGGGCAGTGGGGTAAACTATGGGGCAACTATGTAGTCAGGGAATCAGTAATTTAATTACTCGATCTAGCGATCAATTCACCAAACACCAGCAAAGAAATCTGACAAGCAATTTGACAGTTAATATGTTAACACATCATTCAAATGAACTGATGTACCGGCGTCACTGTAACTTACCAAAGGCATTGATGAGTGTGGAGAGAGCGTTGTCCCTCATAAACTCTGTGTCGTTGGTGTAGTGATGGTTGGGGTACAGGTAGTCCTTGTAGGAGACTGTTGAGGAGAGTAGCACGGGCTTAGTGGTGTGCTACGGGGACAGGTACACCACTTAGAGACACCAGGACAGGTACACCACTTAGAGACACAGGGACAGGTACACCACTTAGAGACTCCAGGGACAGGTACACCACTTAGAGACACCAGGACAGGTACACCACTTAGAGACACCAGGACAGGTACACCACTTAGAGACACAGGGACAGGTACACCACTTAGAGACTCCAGGGACAGGTACACCACTTAGAGACACCAGGACAGGTACACCACTTAGAGACACCAGGACAGGTACACCACTTAGAGACACAGGGACAGGTACACCACTTAGAGACTCCAGGGACAGGTACACCACTTAGAGACACCAGGACAGGTACACCACTTAGAGACACCAGGACAGGTACACCACTTAGGGACACAGGGACAGTCTACCTAACTTTCAGTAACACTTTAGTGATATCAAATTTGATTATCATATTAATTACCTTAATTATAAATATCAGTATAGTCATTATTATTAAATTTTAATAAGATCATAGTTATGGGAAAGGTGTTTTAAAATATAATTATGACAACTATTATTATTAACACTTTTATTTTTGCATCCAAATCCAGGCTTAATGTTCCATTATAAGCCAGACTTAAGGATCCATTATAAGCCAGACTTGAGGCTCCATTATAAGCCATACTTAAGGATACATTAAAAGCCAGACTTAAGGTTCCACCACAAACCAGACTTAAGGTTCCACCACAAACCAGACTTAAGGTTCCACCACACAATGCAGTTAACCTAAACAACAAGACATTGTCAACAAGGTAAGACTATCCTTACGGCCGATGATGAGCGATCCTTCGTCGCGGACGCTGCCGGTCATGACGGGCACCCTCAGGAACTCTCCCTCCTGCAGGATGAGTCTCGGGTGCTGGGGGACGACCACCTCCAGGCTGTGGTTGGCGGGAGGGGCCAGCTCCTCCTGCACCACGGGACTCAACCCCCGGAAGCCTAGACCTCCAACTTTACGATCATCAGCCTGTTGATAAAGGCCGGTCTCCATGAGATAATAAATATATGAGATATATAAGTATGGTGGGTGGGGTGTTTACCCGGCTGAGTTCGGGACTCTCTGACCCACTTTTCTCCCTCTCTCCTAATCTTTCTTCTTTCCTCTCTGTTTCCCTATTCCTCCCTTCTCTCTCTCATCTCCACCTTCTTCCCTCTTTCTTTCTCGCCGAGATTCCCCTCATCCGTTTTCCTCTTCTCATCTCTCCCATTCCTCCCCTCTTTTTCTTTCTTCACACTCCTCGCCCCAACAGGCCCCCTCCCTCTCTCCTTCCCTCTCTTCGGAACATTCCCAATTCTCCATTCCTCTTTTCAAATAATCTCCTCTCTTTCCTCCTTTTCCTTCCTTCGTTCCTTCTTTCACCCACCCTTCCTTCTCTCTCTCTCTCAGAGATATAATCACGAGTTCTGTTTTCCGTAAAATTATTGGCAGCTTTTTCAGTATTTCATAATATTAAATGTTGTGTGTGTGTGAGAGAGGGGGAGGGGGATGGTGGGAGAGAGGGACACAGGGGAGAGAAGGTAAGCGAACGGGTGAGAAGGGTGAATGTTAAGAGAGGGGGGAAGGAAACTATCAGGAGAGAGCGCCAAGCCATTACGACTATATAGTACTAGGAAGGGCTTAGGATATGGAGGGCGGGCAGAATTTTGGGATAGAAAGATGGATAAGGGTAGGAGATGGAGAAGAAAGGAGATAGGTGGAAGGAGATATACGAGATAGGATATATATATATATATATATATATATATATATATATATATATATATATATATATATATATATATATATATATATATATATATATATATATATATATATATATATATATATATATATATGTCGTACCTAATAGCCAGAACGCACTTCTCTGCCTACTATGCAAGGCCCGATTTGCCTAATAAGCCAAGTTTTCATGAATTAATTATTTTTCGACTACCTAACTACCTAACCTAACCTAACCTAACTTTTCGGCAACTTAACCTAACCTAACCAATAAAGATAGGTTAGGTTAGGTTAGGTAGGGTTGGTTAGGTTCGGTCATATATCTACGTTAATTTTAACTCCAATAAAAAAAAATTGACCTCATACATAATGAAATGGGTAGCTTTATCATTTCATAAGAAAAAAATTAGAGAAAATATATTAATTCAGGAAAACTTGGCTTATTAGGCAAATCGGGCCTTGCATAATAGGCTGAGAAGTGAGTTCTGGCTACTAGGTACGACATATATATATATATATATATATATATATATATATATATATATATATATATATATATATATATATATATATATATATATATATATATATATTAGACACCCACACACAAAACACCCACACACAAAACAACTAACTTACATAAATCTTAAGTGAGGCCCAAGTGACCTCCTGGAAGGTCCTGGTCCTCATGCAGGCGACCTTGTCCTCAGAGGACCAGTCGAGGCTGGAGCAGTTGAGGAGGGAGGCCATGTAGTCGTAGGACTCCTGAGGGTTACTGTCCAGGGTCCAGACCTCGAGGGCCGACCCGCTCTCGGGAATTACGCGATGAAACAGTTGACGACCGTTGTTCTGAGGCGCTGTCTCTGTGGACGGAGGAGCACAGCGCTGTGAGGCAGCATGATACTTGTCAATCACTCTATTTACTAATTGTGTCTGCAAAGTCGACCTTTTAGCTCTTGGACCCCGCCTTTCTAACCAATCTACTTTTCCTGTGTTATGTCTTCTACATATATTTCTCTCTAACACACAAACACACACACATCCCCAGAAAGCAGCCAGTACCAGCTGTCTAACTCCCAGGTACTTGTTTACTGCTAAGTGAACAGAGCATCTAGGTGAAAGAAACTCTGCCCATTTCTTTCCACCTCCACCGAGAATCGAACCCGGGCATTAGGACTACGACCCCCGTTCCCTATTCACTCAGCCGCGAGGCCCTTATACTGTGACCCAGGGCAAGTGTGACCCCAGGGCGCTGTGACCATGGGTCAGGGGGTGAAGGTTGACTCACCATTAGTAAGGGGGTGAAGGGTTACTCACCATTTGTAACGGGGTGAAGAGTGACTCACCATTAGTAAGGGGGGTGAAGGGTTACTCACCATTAGTAAGGGGGTGAAGGTTGACTCACCATTAGTAAGGGGGTGAAGGGTGACTCACCATTAGTAAGGGGGTGAAGGGTTACTCACCATTAGTAAGGGGGTGAAGGGTGACTCACCATTAGTAAGGTGGTGAAGGTTGACTCACCATTAGTAAGGTGATGAAGGGTGACTCACCATTAGTAAGGTAGTGAAGGGTGACTCACCATTAGTAAGGTGGTGAAGGTTGACTCACCATTAGTAAGGTGGTGAAGGGTGACTCACCATTAGTAAGGGGGTGAAGGTTGACTCACCATTAGTAAGGGGGTGAAGGGTGACTCACCATTAGTAAGGTGGTGAAGGGTGACTCACCATTAGTAAGGGGGTGAAGGTTGACTCACCATTAGTAAGGTGGTGAAGGGTGACTCACCATTAGTAAGGGGGGTGAGTTGTAGCCAGGAGGAGCTGGCTCCTCCAGCGCTCTGGCCGAAGACAGTGACTAGGTCAGGGTCACCACCGAAGTTGCTTATATATTGCTGCACCTGTGAGGGAGGAGGAGATGTGTGAGAGACGTGGGGGGGGAGAGAGAGAGAGACAGACAGAGAGAGTCTACTTCAAAAGAAAAAAAAATGTTAATATATAATTTGACATGTTATTAGTAACATATCCACACTTGTTACCCCTTGTGTCCCACCCTTTGTGTCTCACCCCTTGTGTCCCACCCCTTGTGTCCCACCCCTTGTGTCACACCCCTTGTGTCCCACCCTTTGTGTCTCACCCCTTGTATTCACCTAGTTGTGTTTGCGGGGGTTGAGCTTTGCTCTTTCGGCCCGCCTCTCAACTGTCAATCAACTGTTTACTACTATTTTTTTTCCACACACACACACACACACACACACACACACACACACACACACACACACACACACACACACACACACACACACACACACACACACACACACACACACACACACACACACACACACACACACACACACACACACACACACACACACACACACACACACACACACACACACACACACACACACACACACACACACACACACACACACACACACACACACACACCACACACACCACACACACACACACACACACACACACACACACACACACACACACACACACACACACACACACACACACACACACACACACACACACACACACACACACACACACACACACACACACACACACACACACACACACCACACACACACACACACACACACACACACACACACACACACACACACACACACACACCACACACACACACACACACACACACACACACACACACCAAGAAGCAGCCCGTGACAGCTGACTAACTCCCAGGTACCTATTTACTGCTAGGTAACAGGAACATTCAGGGTGAAAGAAACTTTGCCCATTTGTTTCTGCTTGATGCGGGAATCGAACCCGCACCAAAGAATTACGAGTCCTGCGCGCTATCCACCAGGCTACCAGGCCCTCTTGTGTCCCACCCCATGTGTCAAACCCATCGTGTCCAACCCCTTGTGTCCCACCAATCGTGTCCCATCCCTAGTATCCCACCCAGTGTGTCCCATCCCTAGTTTCCCACCCCCTTATGTCCCACCCATTGTGTCCCACCCCTTGTGTCCCATCCCTTGTGTCACACCCCTTGTGTCCCATCCCTTGTGACCCACCCCCTCGTGTCCCATCCCTAGTATCCCACCCCCTTGTGTCCCACCCCTTGCGTCCCATCAATTGTGTCCCATCCCTTGTGTCCCACCCCCTTGCGTCCCATCCCTTGTGTCCCATCCCTTGCGTCCCATCCCTTGTGTCCCATCCCTTGTGTCCCACCCCTTGTGTCCCATCCCTTGTGTCCCATCCCTTGTGTCCCACCCCTTGTGTCCCATCCCTTGTGTCCCACCCCTTGTGTACCATCCCTTGTGTCCTGCCCCTTGTGTTCCATCCTCTTGTGTCCCATCCCTTGTATCCCACTCCCTTGTGTCCCACCCCCTTGTGTCCCACCCTCTTGTGTCCCATCCCAAGTATCCCACCCCTTAGGTCCCACCCACTCGTGTCCCATCCCTAGTATCCTATACCCTTGTATCCCACCCCTTGTGTCCCATCCCTAGTATAGTGAGACTTGCTACAATGTTTTATGTATCATTTATACGCTCTGTGATTGACTACAATGCTCTACATCTCACACTGTATACTGACAGAGCTGAAATCTCTTGAAACCTTGCAAAATGAAGCTATGCGTCTCATCCTTGGGGCTCCAAAGTCCACGAGAATAGTTAATATGAGAGCAGAGTTAAAATTACCTACCATAAGTGAGAGAATTTTGTCTATTAGCACAGCTTTCGGCGTGAAGGCATTGAGTAGATCTAGACAACACATGAAGTTTCAAGCTAAACTTTCTAATATGCTGCACTCACCTGAGGTCTATAGAAGAAGAACGAAATCTGATTATGTATTTTGGTTCTACAAGGTAGCCAACTCCATCAAAATATTAAATATGTACCCAACTCAAGAAATGATTAATCAACCAATTACTCCATGGGATAACTGAGATCTATCAGTTGATTATGTAAATGCACCGAAGAAAGATAGTGTTCACTCTAAATTATTAAAACAGTTAACACTGAAAAGCATCACTGAAAGTACTCAGAGTATGGGTAACGATGTGTATCAGTGCTATACCGACGGTTCTGTAGAAGAAGGTGGACGATGTACCTGATGTGCATGCAATATATTTGAACAATCTTCTCTCGTACATACAGCAATGAAGCGCGTCAATGACTGGGCAAGTACAATTCAAACCGAACTTGCAGGCATATATCTTGCCACTGAATTTTTAAAAGACAAAAGCAGTGGACTCATATACTGTGACTCGCAGAGTGCACTCCTGGCATTGAACGCACATAGTAGTGACACCCAGAAAATAGTCAGAGATATTCGAATGAAAGTTTTAGCTGCTAAAGAAAACAGATTTGAAATTAAATTCCTATGGATACCATCACATGTTGGCATCTCAAGGCATGCCACTGTTGATATGCTTGCAAAGACAGCCTGTAGAAAACCAGTGGTAGAATTTGATACGGGTGTTTCATTAGCAGTGACAAAGAGAATACTTAAACAAATATCTAATGAAGATCTCACAGACCTAACAAAATCACAAAGACCTGAAAGTTGTAGCATTAAATATTATGATAGATATCGTGAGGAGACATTCACATAAGGGACTAATAGAACAAGAACCCGGCAATGTGATGTTATAGTGGCCAGAATACGCCTGGGATATAGACGTATCTGGCAGCTTTCTCAAAACCCAAATGTCGAGTACACAATGTGTCAACTTTGTGAAAGAGAAAACATGCACTCTCTTGAACATTATATTGTAGAATGTCCAATATTGACTGACTTTCGCCCTCCTGGGCTAAGGTATGCTGAACTCTGTAGTTACTATATGAGTACTGGAACACTTAATGATATATTGGACTTGTACCTAAGATTAACCATGAAATGTATCAATTATACAATGTATGTATGTGATGTAACTATATAACCTGAGCTTGTAAAAGCACCTTAATCACCTTCAGTGATTAAGTGCTTAATTGCACACTAGTTTCTCTATCAGCTATCTCACCCTGTCAGAGTATAAGAGACAAATGTATGTGAATGCATATGTGTGTGTATATATGTATGTATATATGTATATGTGTGTGTGTGTGTATGTAAATGAATGTGCATAAAGTATATATGGAAGCTGACCAGAATTGCATTTCACCTTTGTAAATGCACATTAATGACACTATGTAAAAGACACATCGAACACTTTATGTAGGGCATACGTAAATCTGTGTATCTATGTATTTACGTATGTAGGTTAGCTTAGCATTTTAAAAGCACCGAATCACCTTCTGTGGTTGAGTGTTCAATAAACCCTTGAACTATATGTTTAACACTTCTCTAACCCTGTCCATGGAGGACAGAAGAAAATGTATATATGCTGGTTAGCATTGTAAATGTGTGGCCACGTCTGTGGTAGAAAATAATAATAATAATAATAAAAATCCCACCCCCTTGTGTCCAATCCCTTGTGTACAATCCCTTTGTGTCCCATCCCTTGCGTCCCGTACCTTGTGTCCCATCCCTTGTGTCCCATCCCTTGTGTCCAATCCCTTGTGTCCCATCCTTTGTGTCCCACCCCTTGCGTCCCGTACCTTGTGTCCCATCCCTTGTGTCCCATCCCTTGTGTCCAATCCCTTGTGTCCCATCCTTTGTGTCCCATCCCTTGCGTCCCGTACCTTCTGTCCCATCCCTTGTGTCCCATCCCTTGTGTCTCACCACTTGTGTCCCATCCCTTGCGTCCCATCCCTAGTATCCTACGCCCTTGTGTCCCATCCCTTGTGTCCTACCCCTTGTGTCCCACCCCCTTGTGTCCCATCCCTTGTGTCCCATCCCTTGTGTCTCATCCCTTGTGTCCCAACTCTTGTTTCCCACCCCTTGTGTCCCAACTCTTGTGCCCCACCTCTAGTGTCCCATCCCTTCTGTCCCATCCCTTGTGTCCCACACCTTGTGTCCCATCCCTTGTGTTCCATCGCTTGTGTCCCACCCCTTGTGTCTCATCAATTGTGTCCCACCCTTGTGTCCTACACCTTGTGTCCCATCCCTTGTGTCCCACCCTCTTGTATCCCACTCCTTGTGTCACACCCCTTTGTGTCCCACCCCTTGTGTCCCACCCCTTGTGTCCTACCCTCTGTATCCCATCCCTTGTATCCCATCCCTTGTGTCCCATCCCTTGTGTCCCATCCCTTGTGTCCCATCCCTTGTATCCCATCCCTTGTGTCCCATCCCTTGTGTCCCATCCCTTGTGTCCCATCCCTTGTGTCCCATCCCTTGTATCCCACTCCTTGTGTCCCATCCCTTGTGTCCCACCCTGTTGTATCCCACCTCTCTGTGTCCCACCCCCCTTGTGTCCCATCCCTTGTGTCCCATCCCTTGTGTCTCACCCTTTGTGGCCCACCCCTTGTGGCTCACCCTTTGTGTCCCACCCCTTGTGTCCCACTCATTGTGTCCCACCCCTTGTGTCCCATCCCTTGTGTTCCATCGCTTGTGTCCCACCCCTTGTGTCTCATCAATTGTGTCCCACCCTTGTGTCCTACACCTTGTGTCCTACCCATTGTGTCCCACCCCATGTGTTCCACCCCTAATGTCTCATCCCTTGACCCCTTGTGTCCCACTCATTGTGTCCCATCCCTTGTGTCCCACCCCATGTGTCTTACCATTTGTGTCCCACCCCTTTTGACCCATCCCTAGTCTCCTACCCCTTTTGTCCCACCCCTTGTGTCCCACTCCTTCTGTCCCACCCCTTGTGTTCCATACTTTGTGTCCCACAATTAGTCTCTCACCCTTTGTGTCCCTCCCCTTGTGTCCCACCCCTTGTGTCTCACCCTTTGTGGCCCACCCCTTGTGACTCACCCCTTGTGTCCCACCCCTTGTGTCCCACTCATTGTGTCCCACTTCGTGTGTCCCA